CTTTAAAATATATCAATCAGCATAACTTGAATCTGTGTTCTCAGGCCAAGAACACTCATAGTTGGCTCAGAATAAACTACTTTTTATTTCCTGTCCATCAAAGTTATTCACTTACATGGACACTATTTATAATATAAACTTCGGCATTTTTGTTTAGTACCTCACAGGCAGTATACATTGTGTGCTTATTCCTGATGTATGTCATACACTTCTATTTATTTGCAAATCTTGTAATTTTATTCTGTTGTAAAGTAGACATTTAAAATAATACAAAAACTCTAGTTACTTGTTTTCCTTTCTCCATCTGGGTATTGTCATTTCCACGTTTACTTGTTTAGTGATTAGCTAGATTGTTTTGGTGGAATCTATGTTCACACACGGTGTGAATCCTCCTAGGTTATTCCTCAGGAGGCATAGCCTTGTCTAGGCCCACAGTCACCCTGGGATGAAGACAGTTTGGACAGTATTTTTCCACTTGTCTCTTTCCCTGACCACACCCAGGTGTCAAGCTCCAATTACTTGCTGATTGCTGTTGTTTTCCTTTTCTTAGTTTTTTTTATTAGTACATGTTTGTAGCACATAATGATTACATTCTTCATGAGGAGTTGGTCCAGGTACTAAAATGTACAATAACGCATTTTAATTCTTTTTTTTATCTCTTCCCCTTCTCTCTCTCCCCTGCTCCACTGTCTTCAGCAATCCCCTGGGCTATACGTTATTCTATATGCTGAGATTTACTCTGATCCCAGAATACCTCCTCCTAGCTCTCTGTTTCCCAGGATCTCTCTGGCAAACTGCAGGATTATTGTAAGTTCTCTTAAAATCATTTACCAACCCCTTGAAAATAGGGAATATGTTTCCCCTTTTTCCTGCAGACAAAAAGGGTACAATTGTTTCTAAATAATTTTGAGATAGTGAGTAATGATATTCCTATGACTTTTCCCTGTGCTGTGATTTTTCTAAATCCTTTTACATGTTAATAATTTTGTATGCTTTTTCTCCTAGTTAATATCCCTTTGTCAGTTTATTTCAGTGAATCCTGAAGAGGGGATACTTCCCTTCAGCCCTATAATAGAGTTGGACAACCATCAGTACTATCCAATTTTAGAACATTTTCATCACTACTAAAGCAAACCTGGTCCCTATAACCAATCATTTTCTACTTCTGTTCTGCCGATTCCAGACAATCACTGTCTGTGTAAATTTGCTAATATGGCAGTTTATTGGAAATTGAATAATATGTGGTCTTTTGCGATTGCCTACTTTCACTTAGCACACTGTTTTCAACATTCATCTGCATTAGACCATGTAGCAATACTTCTCTTTTATTGTGAAATATTTTTAAAATAGCACAGTGGGCGGCTACTGCAGTGCGCCCCTTTACCCAGCTGAACCTGGATGACACACCAGGACCAACCCTACACCTCGCCCCAGGGGTTACCACAGGGTGGTTGAGATAATGGAAAGGAGGACCCCAAGAGCTCTGGGGAAAATTCTGTTAATTCCAAACCAGGAAGGAGGCGCAGTATGTCTCCTTGGAGGTCCCTGCATGACTTAAGAGTAAACATTCTTCCCCTGGAGCTCACTGAAAGTTTATACTTATGTACTGCATGTTATACATACAGGCATAACACAGTGAATTATGGGAAAGGACATATGAAATAGACACAGCAGACATGACTCAGCACTCTGTCAGTCATGCTGTCAATCAATCCCTGGAGGACACTTGATGGGAGGCTCCTTAGAACAAGTGGAACATTTAAACCTTACACCCTATGCTCTCTGCACTTTCACCATTTTCCTTTTGCTGGTTGGAGCCACAGAATGGAAGAATATATTGGTGAATTTAGAATATATAAATCTCTCTTATAAGTGAACAATAGATAGATAATCCAATCTTTTGTTCTGAATAGATAATTTGCCAAAGCAGCTATACAGATGGTCACTATGCCAGTGGAAAGATATTCAAATCATTAGTGATTATGGGAACGCAAATCAGACTACAGGAAGATACTGCATACTCACTAGGGTGGATAAAACAAGAAGACGAAAACGAGTTTTGGAAGACTATGAAGATATTGGAATCTTTGTATATTGTAGGTATGAAAGTGAAACTGTGATTTCACCATGGAAAATAGTCAGTTTCCAAAATGTTAAGCATAGATTTACCATATGACCCAACAGTTCTACTACTAATTTTATACTGCAAAGAATTGAAAACAGGTGTTCAAACACCAATTTTACAGAAATGTTCAAAGAAACATTATTCATAATAATCAAAGATGGAAATAGCTCAAGTGTCCATGAACTGATGAATGGATTTTTAAAATGTCATTTACCACCAATAGAATATTAGTAGACACTAAAAAGGAATGGAATACTAACACACACACTGTAACACGAATAAACCTCTCAGATATGTTAAGTGAAAGAAGCTAGTCACAAAACCCACATCTTATATGGTTCCCTGTGTATGAAATGTTGACAATATTCAAGTACACAGAGATAGAAGACAGATTAGTGGTTGCCAGAAACTTCAGGGGAGGGAGTGGAAGTGGGGAATGCAGTGTCTGGTAGTGTACAGAGGGTTTCTTCTTTGGATAATGAGATGTTTTAAAATTAGATAGTGGCTATGAATACATAACTGTAAATTAATAAATGCCAATGACTTGTATAATTTGATAAATCTTTTAGTATACGGATTATGTCCCAATAAAACTGGCATTTTAAAGAGTGTAATTGTTACCATTTAAGGGCAAAATGTTGCCTCTTCATGGTGAAGCAGTCTACTGCAATTAGACTTTCTTGTGGAAACGGTAACACATTAATATTTCATTATAGGCCTCTGCTTTTTTTTTTTTTTTTGACTTTATGAGACAGGGTCTTGCTATGCAGTTCAGGCTGGCCTTGAGCTCACTTTGTAGCCCAGGCTGGTCTCAAACTCGAAATGATCCTCCTGCCTCAGCCTCCCGAGAGCTGGGATTACAGGCGTGTGCCACCACGATGGGTTTAAGCTTCTGCTTTTGACAGATTCTAAATTTAGCTGTGAGAGTAGTCAGATCAGTGTGATAAGAGGGCGTCAATATTGTTGACCTTTTTCTTAGCACTATTACCCCATCCATGGCCACTTTGTATGTGGGCCCACTGAATAAATACTGGGATAGCTGGATTAGGAGAGAGGTTGAATGGTAAGTATAGAGGTGGTCATATTTTTCCCTCAATTATTGAAAGTTTCCTCAACAGTCAGTGCCCTCAGTGTGCACACTCACTACGTCAGTAAAGAGATGCAAGCTATTTGGAGGGGAATGTAGCCTAGTAGCTTTTGGATCTCAAGACCCTCTCAGTGGGTAAAACTAAAACCTTGGACATGGCACCTACCATGTGGGAGCTCTGTGCCTGTTTGTTTCTTGCCATTAGATACCCTGTGAGATCTGATGCCTGAGCAATGTAGGAAGGATGAGCCTGCTCTTTCTGTCTCTGTCTCTGTCTCTATCTCTGTCTCCGTCTCCCTCTGTCTCTGTCTCTGTCTCTCTCTGTCTCTCTCTCTCTCTCTCATCACCTTTTCAGAGTATTTAAAATAATACCTCCTCAAGTATCTGGGAAAACTGATTAACAGAGGGCTCCCTCCTTCCTGGGCCCTGGATTCTAAACCGTTTCTTCTCTGAGATTTGATAGGCCAGTCTCTCTTTGAAAAAAGTATCGTAATTGAGATAAACTTTTAAAAATTAGAACATGAGGCTGGCCCAACTATTTCCTGAGCTGAGCACAAAAAGATAACTTTGAATTTTATTTCTGATAAATTTTAGTAACATTTGCCTGGGAAAAATGCAAGGCATTACATGGTGTTTTAACAAGGAATCCATGCTACTAGTATAGGTTGAGTATACCTTATTGGAAATGCTTGAGACACAAATCTCTCAGATCACAGAGTGTGTTAGTTCTTTTTGGTTTTGGAAGGTTTGCATAGACTTTACCTGTTGAATGCCCCTAATCTAATAAATCTGAAAGTCAGAATGCTCCAAAATCTGCAGTTGGGAGAAAGGCTTTATGCATACGCCTTTCCTTTAGGAGTCATAGAGGGGCTTCAGTCCTGTGAGGACTTTAGGGAATCAGAAGGGCTGTGTCACCGTGAGGAGTCCATCACAGAGTGGCTGTCGTGTCAGGGAGTATAGATACAAGGCGCAGTGAGACAGGAGTGCCCAGCAGACACTGAAGTATCCGGAGAAGAGGGGCACTGCTTTTCTGCTGCTTAGAGTTGCTCCTGGGCACAGGTGAGAGCTACCTTTAGTTCTTCTGAATATTTGATAAGACCCACAGTCTTGCTCTTGCAAGGGAGTTAGCTCAACACAGCTCATGTATTAACATGTCACCTGATACACCGGACAGTCCTGTGAGGCAACTGTGTTCCCTGTTCACAGAAGACAAGATTGGACCTTGAGCAGTGGATGTGTTGTAAGTGCCAGGTTGATTTTTCTAGCTAGGAGTCATGGAAGTACTGTGACTTTTACTTAGCTTGTACTCTGACAACAAGGATTTTAAGAGTCCTCACTGCTCTTATAAGCTCATTCAACAGTTCAATTGCTTATCATATTTTTTCTTTTTAGTTTTTAAAAAAATTATGATATGGCAAACGTAAACGATACCCAATAGGAAAAGGTGGAGATGAGTGAATAACAACAAAAAAGATTCACACACAGAGGAGCCATAGGATGTCCAGATACCCAGGAGCCAGAGGATGGCTAGATACCCAGCAGTACCTACTGACCTGGTTACACCTAAGGAAGACCCCAGATGGGTACGGCAGCAGAACAACGGCATGGACTTACATAACTAGCAGGGGGTCAGGTTCATTTTTAAGTGCAGGTGAGACCTATTCTTGGTCACTGTGCAGGAATAACCACTGCTAATTTTTTAGTGTACACACTGCCAGGGTTTTCCCCTGTGTAAATGCATTATGCACACATACGTACATTTTTATAAAAATGAGCTGCTACTGTATATGTGCTTCTGCAAATATTTTTATTTCTGTTTTACAATGTGCATGCATATGGATGAAAATTCACTACTGTACTAAAAGGTAAAGTGCTGTAGTTGGGTCAAAAGGCTGCTGGTAAGGAGAGTGATATCTAAAGCAAAGTATCAGCTTAAGGTTAAAGTATCTACCAGGGGAAGCAGGGCCAGCACTATGCCCATCGGCAAAGTAGGAATCCAAGACCAAAGGCATTAAAGGTGTGGGATATCAGGCAAGCCTCTTTGGCCTCTACCTCGGCCCCTCACTCCCCTGACATGGCTTGGGCCCTTTGGGGGGTACGCATCCAGTAGCTGTCTTTGCATCCACTGAAAATTATGTATCCTCTGGTCTTTCTTGAGCTCTTCCTGAATCCTTGACATATCTGCGCACTCTCTCATCGTCTCTATGCTGCTCAAGTGCATGTCCCGTAAATTCTCCTCACATTCCCTCAGGGAATCCTCAGTCCCTCTATCCGTTTGCCTTTTTGCTTTGTGGGGCACATAAGCTTCTGTGGGGTGCTTTTCAGTGGCCCACAGCTTGCTGGCTGGCTGTGCCTGGGGATCTGGCCTGCCTTGGGCCGGTGGGTTGTCCTCATTCGCCAACTTGCCTTGTGTTTCTGGTTTGCCTTCTTCTTCCCTTTGTCCCTCAACAGCTGGCTCTCCTTCCCCCTCTGGCTTCCCCTCAGGTGCTGGCTGCCCCACATGGTCAGGCTTCCCTTTCTCTTCTGTCTTTCTTTCACCTGCAGGCTCTACTTTCTCATCTGCTTTTCCCTGCTCTTCTGGCTTTCCTTCATTTTCACTGCAGATTTTTTCCATGTCGAGATTTCCCCTTCTGGTCTTGTCCTGGGGGTAGGGGTGGAGGGAAGAGGAGACAAAGAGGAGACAGAGGAGACTCAGGGCACAGGGCTGCAACCTAGGTCCAGGCAGGACCTGCATCTCCCTTGCCAGGGTTCTCCTAAGCTGGCCTGGCCTCCAGTGCGGCTTGTGCCCTCCGCTCTCACCACATTCATCCTACACACTGAGGGCCAACAGTTCCCTGCAGGCCCTGTATCCTTCTCTGCTCCCTCAGCAGGACAGTGTGTGCTCTGCCTGTGGTGGGGGCGGGCATTCTGGTCCCCTCATCCTGCCCCGCCCGGGCCTGGGGTTGAGGAAGGCAGTGCCCTCTGCACTCTCAACCCTCGGGGTCCTTGTGCAGGCTGCTGCCCTTCCACTGACCTGCGGGATCCTGGGCAGCTTACTCCTTCTTTTCAGGCCTCAGAGAGCGCTGGCCACAGCAGAAGTGCGGACCTGCAGACACAGGACACAGGGACAGAGGCTGCGCACTCAGTGGGCTCACAGATTTAGGTCCCTTTTCTGAATTTGGGCCCTCCTCACCGCCGTTTCCCTCCCCCCACCACACCCCCATTTCTTTTCAGGCCTTGGACGTCGACCAGGATGTCTTCCAAACTACCTTTGGGTTTCTGTGTCCTCTCCTGGAGGCAATCTGCCCCTCCCTTAACCACCTTTCAGCCCAGGTCCATTTGTCTTCAGAGGCGCTTTGTAAAAAAGGTGAGTTATTTCGTGAATGCGTCTCCCTGTCACTGTCTCACTGCGGGATGCCCCCTCTACTGCCTGCTCAAATGGGATAGAGGGATGGGGAAGGGGAGGGTCGAGAAGGCAGCAGGCGGTTGTGGGGCTCCCTCTCCCTTTCCCTCTCCCATTCCCCACCGCCCCTGTCCGCTTCGCTCCCCCTCCTCACCAATTTCGTTGAATTGCTTCCCGCCCTATCCCCTTTGTTGCGACCCACCTCCACCTCTGCCCGGAGTCCGAGGGCAGTGCTTACCTTCTCACGGACTTTGAAGGACCCAGGATAGACCTGCGCCTCCCTGGGCTGGCAGAAGCGTGCTCAAGGCTCGCCAGCCCCCCTGGGCAGCTGAGGGAGCAGATTCCACGCGAGTGCAGGGACGCAACACGTGAGCGCCACGTCACCAGACCTCCCCCACCCGCGCTTTAAACCCCCATCTCCGAAGGACCTAGAAGATGTAGACAGTAGGAGGGGTGTGGGTGGGGGCAAAGACAAAGGATATCCGGAAGAGGGGAAGCTTTCTAACCCAGGTGCCTTATGGAGAGCATCTCTTCGCATCCTTGAACAGTATCCCTGTCACACTCCCAGTACAGACAGGGCAGCTTTTCAGAGTGGACTTTGCCAAGAGCGCTCAGCTCCAAAACACAAACAGTCCGATTGCAAAATCCTCTCTGCCTGATTCCAGAGCCTGGTAGAGGTGGTGCCTCCAGGAAGCTAAGCTACCACTCTGAATGGCAGCCTTCCCTGGGATTCTGTCTGGGGTCTCCTCTTCTCAGTTAACATATTTTCCCTGCCTAGATGATTTCATTTGTCACACAGGTGACTCCCAAATCGGCATCTCCAGTTTTTTCCCTTCCCAAATTTCAGACCCATTTTTTTCTCACCAGTAATAATGGGAGAACGTTTCCTGATACTTTTCAAACAACGTGTGACATACATTTAAATTTTCACTAATGTGACTGTTGATGACTCAGTGGCATTTCATTTTGCCTTCCTGCCTTCTGTGGACTGTCTGCTTGTGCTTTTAACTGCTTGTTGGTCCTTCGCTCATTATTTTTCAAGCATTCTTTTTACATGAAATTTAGTAGGCCTTTGTCTATTGTATATCTTGCAAATATTTTCTTCCACTTTGTTTGCTACTTTTTGGCTTTGTTTATGGCATTTTTCTGCCATGCGTTAAAAATGTAGTCAAATTTGTCAAACTTTTGTTGCTTCTAGATTTTGATTCATAGTTAAGAAATCTTGGGCCTGGGGATTTAGCTCAGCGGCAAAAGCGCCTGCCTGGCAAGCGCAAGGTCGTGAGTTCGGTTCACGGTACCGGAGAAAAACCAAAAAACAAAACATAGTTAAGAAATCTTTTCTATATGTGGGCAAAGAACTCACCATGTTTTCTTCTAGTATGCATATGGTTTTATTTCTTTACATTTAAAGTTTATACATATGTATGATATAAAGTATGGATTTCAACTCCACAAACCAGGTTTTCTTTTCCTAATGGGATACTCAACTCTTCCAGCATCATTTATTAAAAAGTCTATCTTTTCCTTAGTGATTTGAGATGCCACATTTATTGGATACTAAATTTCTTTACATACTTGGGAAACTTGCTGGGCTTTTCATTCGATTATGTTGGTGTGTTTGCTATCCATATATCAGTTTGCATTAAAGGGGATGTATAAGTTCATGTTGTAATCAGGGTTTACAAGGGAAACAGTTTAGCACAGGACACATAATTTATAGGATTATTTTATAATAGTCACCCAAAGAGTCAAATACAAAAGAGTGCAGGAAATCTGTCCACACACTAAAGACCCAAAGAATCCAGGTGAGGGCTTGGATCCCATGACAATGTCTTGCATGAGTCCATCTAAAGACCCAGAGCCCATGACAATGTCCTCCATGAGTCCAACTGGAGACCTAGAGCCCACGACAATGTCTCATGCAAGTCTGTTTCATGGATCTGCACTGGGAAGGCCCAAAGGTCAGTGGTGGAAGCTAGAAAATCTGTGCCAGTGGGCTGAAGGATCTGTGCCAGCAGGCTGAGGAATCTTCACTGGAGCCAGGAAACAACGAAGTAAAGAGTACAGCTCCCCTGAAAAGCACCACAGCCATCCTTAGTGATAACGAGGTCCTGAGCTCCTCTAAGGATGAGAACAACTGAGTTCATATCAGCAAAGCTAGCATGACAAGCTCCTCCAGGAGAACCAACAGCCCCTTCTTCAGTTCTCCTTTTGATGCTGTTGGCAACAATCCTCAGGTGGGCCCTCCACACCCAGCACCACGCTGATTCAGTTCAGCTGGGTGTTACAAGTTGCCCACCAGTTGTCAATCCACCACGGTTTGTATAGGTAGAGTTAGTCCTACCAGTAGTTTTTCTTTTACAGTTTTTTCCTATACATTCTTGTATGTTTATTTGTCCACCTAAATGCTAGTATCAACTAGATTCAGATCTATTTTAAATAATAGACGTATTCACTCAGATATCCATTCTACCATTCTTTCTTTCCCTCCTATTATTTCCCTATCTTAATTGATGGCCCCAGAAATCACACAGCTGCCCAAGCCCCAACCTCCAATCCAGGAATCATCCCTGATTCTGTTTTTCTCTGTCACCAAGTAGAGTATTTTCACTTGGTGACAGGGATGCAGTCTAAAAATTCCATTATTATGGAATTTTGTCACGGTACAAATGTCACAGAGGATACTTACACAAACTAGGATAACTAAAGCATCACTAAGGGGCCACTATTTTATACACAGTGTATCATTGACTAAAATATCATAATGTGGTACATAACTACTCACACAGTTCTTTCCAGTTTTCCCTGATTTCTACTTTTGCTACCTTCTTTTAAGCATCCAGTTTACCTCTCCTGGTCTGTGGTTGCAGGTCCCTTTCTAGTTTTGCTATCTCAAGTGTTGCTCTCCTCTATTACATTTATTGTTCCAAAATATTATATATTATTCTATATCCATGCCTATTCTTATTTGCATCTTCATTATAGCCCTTGAAATAAGTAGGTCACAAATTATCTCTCAAAGAGAAACCACTCCATAATTCAGGTTAAAAAGAGTAATGCACTGGATATGGTAGTAGGCCTGTGATCCCAGCTACTCAGAAGGCTGAGGCAAGAGGATCACACTTTTGAGTCCTGCCTGAGCAACTTAGTGAAGTGAGACCCTGTCTCAAAATATAAGTTAAAAAGGACTAATGATGTATCTTAAGATAGAGTGTCACTTAGTTAAATCCCCAGTATTGAGGAAAAAAAAGCCTTTGTTCTTAGCCTGAGTACTTTATTTATTTATTTATTTATTTATTTATTTATTTATCTTTGGTCTTTTTTTTTTTTTTTTGAGATAGGGTCTCGCTATGCAGTTCAGGCTGGCCTTGAGCTCACTTTGTAGCCCAGGCTGGCCTCAAACTCGCAATGATCCTCCTGCCTCAGCCTCCCGAGTGCTGGGATTACAGGCGTGTACCACCACTCCCGGCTAGCCTGATTACTTTAAAATCAACTTTTAGCAATTACTGAAGATCTAAAGTAATATTTGAATTTTGAGATAAAATTCAAAGAAATGAGCCTGTTCAATGTTTAGAGTTAGGAGGCCAGATTCCTGGATGGGATGATTCAATCTTACAAAGATAAGGAGTTCTATCTCTGCCTCTTAATATATGAGAACTTCTAATAATAAACACTGTTGCATTGGTCCAAAAATAGGAATCTAGTGAGAAATAAGAATGCTTTTCTATACTCAAAAGTTTTAATAGGCTAGTGTCAAAATCTGGCCTATTCCCTATATTGACTTTTTTGCGTTAACTAAATTCACATAGACTTGTCTCTGCTCTTGTGCGCCTGCTGACAGCCGCTCCTCCTGTGCAGCGCCAGTCGTGATCCAGACATGATGGTGAAGGTCGGAATGAATGGATTTGGCCATATTGGATGCCTGGGCACCAGGGCTGCTTTTAACTCTGGCAAAGTGGATGTTGTGGCCACCAGTGACCCCCTCATTGAACTCAACTACATGGTCTACATGTTCCAGTAGGATTCCACCCATGATGACTTCCACGGCACTGTCAAGGCTGAGACTGGGAAGCTCGCTGTTGGAAAGGCCATCAGCATCTTCCAAGAGCAAGATTCCGCCAACATCAAGTGGGGCGATGCTGGCTCCGAGTATGTGGTGGAGTCCCCTGGTATCTTTACCACCATGGAGAAGGCCAGGGCTCATTTGAAGCATGGTGCCAAGAGGGTCATCATCTCTGCCCTTCTGCTGATGCCCCCATGTTTGTAATGGGTGTGAAGCACGAGAAGTATGACAACTCCCTCAAGATTGTCAGCAATGCTTCCTGCGCCACCAACTGCTTAGCTCCACTGGCCAAGGTCATCCATGACAACTTTGGCATCGTGGAGGGACTTGTGACCACAGTCCCTGCCATCACTGCCACCCAAAAGACTGTGGACGGCCCCTCTGGGAAGCTGTGGCATGACGGCTGCGGGGCTGCCCAGAACATCATCCCTGCCCGCATCTGCTGGCATTGCCAAGGCCATGGGCAAGGTCATGCCAGAGCTGAACGCGAAGCTCACGGGCATGGCTTTCCGTGTGCCCACCCCGACGTGTTGGTGGTGGATCTGACCTGCTACCTGGAGAAAGCGGCCAAATACAATGGCATCAAGAAGGTGGTGAAGCCGGGCGTGGTGGCGCACGCCTGCAATCCCAGCACTCGGGAGACTGAGGCAGGAGGATCGTTGCAAGTTTGAGACCGCCTGGGCTACAAAATGAGCTCAAGGGCAGCCTGAACTGCACAGCAAGACCCTGCCTCAAAAAGACAAAAAAATATAAAGCTGAAGAAGGTGGTGAAGCAGGTGCCAGATGGCCCTCTCAAAGGCATCCTGGGCTATACTGAGAACCAGGTTGTGTCTTGCAACCTCACCAATGACACCCACTCCTCCACCTTTGACACTGGGGCTGGAATTGCCCTCAATGACCACTTTGTCAAGCTCATTTCCTGGTGTGACAATAAGTCCGGCTACAGTAACAAGGTGGTGGACCTCATGGTCCACATGGCCTCCAAGGAGTAAGCAGCCCCCCACCGCAGCCCAGGAGACCAGAGAGAGAGGGAGAGACCTCGCTGTAGAAGTCACTGCCCCACTCAGCCCCAACACTGAGAATCTCCCCTCATAGCTTCCATCCTAAGCCCTCTGGAGAAGGGAATGGGCCTAGGGAGACCTGGCTCATTTTGCACCATCAATAAAGCCACTGTACCCAGAAAAAAAAAAAAAATTCACATGGACTCGATAGCCCACATCTCTAGACCCAAGGAAAGATAATTCATCTTTATCATCTTCATCAAAAGATGTTGTTGAGTTACTTTATGTGCATGACATCACATAGTCACTATATAATATACACTTTAATAATGAGTCTCACTATTTACCATGCAGATCAACGGCTAAAATACCAGCTTTGTCATTTACTAGCTTTGTGAACTTGAAAAGTTACTAAAATTCCATGAGCCATAGTTTCTCCATCCAGGGAATAATATTACCTGTACCCGAGGATTATCATAAATTCTA